ACCACCTGCTCCATGGAGCCAACAACAACAACAGCTGCCTGGATGGGTTGAGGTGCCACAGCCATGGTTACGGTTGCCGGGGCAATGGACACAGAAATTGGCTGGCTCTCTTGGTTGGCGTGCTGACCAGGCTGGGAAAGGCTGTCCGGGGCAATGGAGGTGGGGGGGGGAGGAGGGAGAGAGGTAGGCTGTGGGGGCAAAGTGAGCTGGAGGAGGGAGAGAGGGATGGTCTGCTTCTCCACCCGCACCACCTTCCCTCCTTCCTCCTTCTCCCGGGCGACTCTGTCCTTCATCTTGATGCCCGTGTGCACCGACTGATGCCGCCGCAGGTTGTAGCTGTTCTTGAACTCCTTGTTGCAGGTGGCGCATATGTGGGCCGGCCGACTCGGCTTGGTGAGAGGTTTGACTGAAAGACACAACAGGAGGGCAAATAATGACATTAAGATTTTTTTTAATTTCAGTCAGGTTAGAGTTCATAATCAGCGCAGTTTTCAAACACCTATTAAAAGGTAGCTTTCCTGAATCAAACTTAAATTACCCTTTTTTTTGTTTTCAACCGTTTGTAGTTCAAACCACTATCTTGTAAGCTGTCATGCTCTGCGACATGTGTTGCAGACAATGTTGAGAGTTTTGGAAACTGTGTAGTTGGAGCACACAATGATACAACAACAACAATGATATGATGACGCACTTTAGAAATCAACCCAGGCATCGTTATCTGTGTAATATGTTCTGTAAATAAAAATCTATATAGGTGGATGTTGGAAAATGTATGCCCTCATACATTTATAGTATAAGCCCATATTATTTGTGACGGGCGCCAGTGTGCTCATATTGATTTCTATTTTAACGCTACTGAAATCTTCAATTGTGTAACATCACTGCTCCAAAGTGATTTTCTCAGTTTGCAGATTTTTTGTAAAAAATGCGTTTAGTAAAAAGTCTGCAGCCAGTTCAGCGGCCTGCAGTCGCTGTAAGGCCCATTTAGTACACCCACAGCTACATTTATATCAACTCACAATAAATAAACATATAAAATATTATCTAGACATTAGATTAGGATTTATGGGTTGTCCCCTGGTATGCAAAATCAGATTTAAAGGGTGGCCCATGCAAACACTCTGAACACATCCCATTTGTTAACCAGTGTACCCTGCAGTGAGACCCCCCCCCCCCCCCCCTCCTCACCAGGTAAAGGCTCCTCGCTCAGGGCAGCAGTGTCGACGGTGGATGGTGGTGTCACGATGTGCTCTGCTGGAGGACTCTGAGTGGCGCCGGTCAGCTCAGGCAGCAGCTCGGACTGAAGCGGTGTCTCAGGCTGGCTCTGAGTCGTCTGCGTCTACAGACAGGAACATATTTATGATTAGTCCTTCAGTTTACAGTCCAGCAAACTGAACATAGTCTTCAAACTTTAAGTGTTAATTAAGAGTAGATTGGAGAGAGACTCATTTTGATTCTTTCTTCAAGCAAAAAGTGTCAAATATTCTCTTTCAGCTTCTCAGATTTACACATTTGATGCTTTTCTCTGTTAATAATTGTTCACAGTGTCTTTAGACTGTTTCCCTGTCAAATGAGATGTAAAATAAGGACTTACATTTTCATATTCATTAACTCCTTACTGATCTGTTTGATACCCTTGGCGCTGCAACTGAAAAATGACATAGCGTCTGGGTTTTGAAAATTTGGTTAATTTTGTATGTTTAGCTGGGGATGCAAAATAATATTTGCACATTTTTGGTATCGGTCATTTAATATATTCTGCTGATACAAAGAAACGACTTCACATATGCGGTGGACAGACTGTTTCGATGATACACAGACGGTGCAAATAAGTACATTTAAAACATACAATACATTTTTATTGTTTGTTGTACACACAGATCATTATAAATTACTAGCCTTTAGGTGTTGAAAAATGTAGCAAACGCTGAACTGCTTAAACCTGCATTCTCTCTAATGGACAACAGGGGGCGACTCGAATTGGTTGCAAAATCGGTCTGACTGTACAGTCTATGAGGGTATCATCATCTCATTAGATTTATTACCTACAAGAAAAAAAAAATGACTTTATGGTCCAAATTGCTAGTATCAAGTCTTCTTCAATCTTAATGATGTTCTTTAGTAAAGGATGGTGCTATAAGCAGAACATGGACAGCAGGGCACAGCTTTTAGGTCATAAATACCCTGTGATTGACAATTTGCTACCAAGGCGACCCATTTACCAACATAGCCACTTCCTCTTTGTATTAAGATGCTTAAAGGAAAACAAGATGGCATTGGCCAAAAATGCCAAATGTAATGCTTCAAATCGCTAAAACAGGAACCAGTGGGTGCTGAAATGCTCCTCTCCACCGAGCATTTTGGATACATTTTCAAATTTACGGCAACAACCTGCAACAACCAACTTTACCCTGACCCTTCTCTGACCTCCTCCTTTTTAGACGCCCCCCCCCTCCCTCCCTATTTTAACCCCATGCAGAAATACCCCCCACCCTCTCTCTCTCTCTCTCGCTCTCTCTCTCTCTCTCTCACACACTTCCCTCCTCCTTATAAAAACGTTAAACCACAAGAGCACCTCAAGCATCAATTAAGACTTACCTGAAAGAGGAAATTACTCCAGGAGGTGTCCATCCTGAACCCTTTTAGGGGGGACTAGACGCTAACCAGCCCGGGATCAAAGAGGGGAGGGAAAAGGGGGCAACGGAGCCCAACAAGAAATGCTCCAGCTGCTGCTATGAAAACAAACCCGAGGCCTGTATCGCAGCTCCTCTCTCTACCTGCCCGGGTTAATCCATGGAAATGTATGATCACATCGGACGATAGGTAGCCTAAATCCACAGTCTAAATGGTGATTAGGTTGCTAAGATTTATGAATTTTTTCGTGGTAATCTGTTGGCAATACACAGGCACTGACAAGATGATTTTGTAAATGCGACAAAATGGTTGGTATCATGCTTGCTTTAATGGTGCATTTTAATATCATTTGCTTATGTCTACTGTAACAAAATTTCAGGAACTGCATGCAAAAAAATATAAATTATTTCTTTACAGGAGATGAGGTTGTCGAAACGTGCTAATCATAGTCAGCAGCTGCTCAAGAGTCATTTATTTGCGATAGCTCCAGAAAGAAGAGAAAAAAAAAAAAAAAAAAAAAAAGGCCGCAGCGTCGTGCTCCTCAGCCTCGGTGTTGCGTACGGGACGTCCCCTAACTTAAAGAGCTCCTGGTCGGCTGCGGTCCATGGCTCCGCCTCGGTGTTTCAATCGACAGGATGACATCTTTCTCTTTTTTTCAAATTCTCTCTCCCTCTCTCTCTCTCCCTCTCACTCCCTCTCGCCCTCCCTCCCTCTCTGTCTTTCTTCCTTTTCTTTTTTTTTTTTTTTTTATCTCTTCTTCACCCCCTCTGTCCCTCTCCGCTTTAAAGGGAAAGTATTTTGTGCGTGCACCCTCCTCGCGGACCCCGTCTCGTCTCGTGCCGTCCCTCTCGCCCCCGCCGCCGCCGTCACTTCTTCGGTAGGCCGACACAAAATGAAATCCGACATTTATAGAATCAGCGTTGCCGTTTATGTTCCCCCCCACCTTCTTTGCTTCGGCGGAAAGCGGAATCCCAGCATCTGTAAACACGCAGCGGCCCGGACCTTGCTCATCGGGGCAGCAGCAGCAAAAACTCTTCGGCTAAAATGGTGTCGTGTTTGTCTAATTCAAGGCGTTATCCACGACCATCTTAAAGGTAACGATGCGCGCAAGTGCAACAGCTGGATTTAACCTTCAATGCACATGACGTCCATTCATGAGTGGGGCCAGAAATATTTACTCTGCAAGGTTCCAATTAACCAAATCTCCAAACTTTGTGTTCGCTCCACCAGCCTTTATTAAAAACCTCTTTTTTTTACCAATAAATGTGTTTCAACACAAATCAATAAGGCATGCAAACAATAGGCTACATCAAGCATCATGATTTCTCCTCACCTTTCTTCTTATTCTTCTATATCTGTATCACTTTGTTTCTAGTGTCAACCATGGTAATCACTGAGTGTCCTAAATTAAAGAAGAAACACATCCTATGTTTCCAGATGTTTAAAAGACAAAAAAAAGTCTCATCAACCAACACAAGCTATTATAATATTGTAAAATGTTATTAGTTTTTTTTTAATAAAATGGGGAGTAAGACGTGTTCAATCCGTGCAGTGATCATGGAAACTTAAGATCTCAAAGATGCGACTGTTTAGTTTCAATAGACATTCATTTAGAGACTGAGTTTTAGATTATCCAGAAATAATGTCAGATATAGCCAAAAATAACAATAAAACCCTGTTTTCCATTGTCTTTATTTTGTATCTAGTTGTATTTAAAATCAGCCACACTCCACATGTAATAACCATCACATACAAGGGCTGTCAGCACAAACTAGTTAATAACAATTAATTAAGATGGATAGATTTATGTCTCTGCAGTGTGTCCTTGTAGTCATAGAGAAGGAAAAGAACGACACTGCTGCGCCTTTGAACGTCTCATTTCACTTGAAAAAAACTCCCAGAGAGCTCAGTTGAGGAGTCTGAAGTAATATCCACCTTATGACATCAAATACTACACTCGAAGCTGTTTTCATTAAGTTTTCCATCCGAGTTTCTTTTAAACTTTTAAACTAAAGTTAACGACGTAACCTGCGATCTACCAGAAGGGCCTTATTTTATTTAAAAAAGATAAAAGCAGGGTTGAATTCAAACAACAAGTAAAGTACTTTCAGCTTAAGACAGTAAAAAAGCCAAACATTTTTTGTTTTCAAACGCAAAATATCAGAATTTGAAAGATGAGTTTACAAATTTGATCTATCGAGATTAACTATTGGAATTTTTGTGATTAATTGCAATCAAAAAATGTAATCATTTGAGAGTCCTATCAAATACTTACATAATTACAACAATGGATATAGTATTTCACTTGGCTAAATCTGAAGATAGACACAAGTTGTTTCTAATAATACATTCTTTGACATCATATCTAAAACAAGAAGAAAATATTTGTATTTCCACACTTTTTTATCACACATTCTGCATTGAAACTTGGCATACAGAAGTCCATAGTCAGCACAAACGTGGTCAGAGACTCTAAAATATACAATGCAAAACAGTCAACAATAATACTTGGTGCTCTTCAAGTGAGGTATAACTTATGACCTGCATAACTCTCTGTTTCTAAGCAGACTAAATACAAGCAGGTCTCTTCTACCACAAAGAAACAACAGCTGACATTTCAAATAAGTCATGATTGCCATTAAACCAACACCAAAATAAAAGCTGGAATCTTAATGAATTAATAATAATAACAATAATAACAGAAAAAACAGTGGCTCGGAGTCACAAAAGGAATATTTAAGTGCTCATTACCTAGTGCTTTGAAAGGAAAGAATCGGCTTTTTGATTTATGAGTAAAAGTTTGAGATTTTTCTGTAACACGAATAAGAGGGTGTCGTCTGCATTAACTGAGAGCTTCCGATTTTTGGTCTGTGTGTCGCCAAGGACAGGGACACAAATTTGATCTAAATTTAGCAAAAGTAAAACTGACATTCAAAAAAAATAAACAAATCAAGAATTCAGGTAGATATTAGCGGTAAATCAGAGCCAGAACAGACTTAGTTTCTTCACATTTCTACAAAAAGTTTGATTGAACATGCTGTAACTGAAACGTGTATTAAAACATTTGATAGTCTTTTTCATTCAGTTCAACTTCAGACACCAACCTGGTGCTGAACAAAACTGCTCAACTGGTGTATTCCCCAAGCAAACAACTTGGAATATGTAACTCCAGAGCTTTCATCAACGCACTGCTAAATGAATACCTACGCCGCATTTATCTCTCTGTTATTTTGTGACTTTGCTGTTTTGAATGGTAAGTTTGGATGTTTGGATTAAACACAATAACTCTGGAACATTGGAAACAAAAACGGTCTTTCTCTTCAGGGATCTTCTGTCATGTTGTCAGACAATTAAAATGTCCAATCATTTGTATCCATTTAATCCTGATTTAAAATTAAAAATATTTTTTCTTGAATCCTCAAAGACTATTCTGATCATGTTGTTCAAGTTTTTTACCCTCAGCAGCACAATAACTATGTTTTTAACAAGTTTCATCAGTTGGTACTCTGATTTCCTCTCGTTTCCCCTCAGGGTACTGGTGGGTGACAAGTCTTAATTTAAACGTACATATCCTCCATGCAGACCCTGTAGAACCCGGAGTTTCTCCTCACACACTGTTAAACACGTTTATCTTTCTACCTGACACTGAGGAGCTTCCGATTAAATCTGCCACAAATCAGACGTATCTTAACTTTGAGTAAAGTTATTAAGTTGAAATATAATATTTATAATATATATAATATTTTTTTTTCGCTCTGCAGCTCCTTCACTCTAAATGTTAATAAGACAATTGATGTCATAATCTTAGTAGACAAACTCTGCACTGTATAAAGAAATAACACACTGTTTCATTCTTTGATATTTTGTGAAGTTAAATTTTCCTGGCTCGGAAAAAATGCAGAATTTAGTATTAAGATGTATCATCATTGTTTGCTTGTAAAATAAATCACAGCAGAACGATTGTAAAAACTGTTAAGGACGTATCTTTCAGACGCACACCTGTCTTGATCATGGAATTTAAATATTGTGACGTTTGGTCATAAAACTTTTCTGCTTTCTTTCTGTTCGTGTTATTTCAGTCACCGTAGTTCACTGTATCTGATAAAATGACATAAAATAATTGCGTGTTGGATCTGTTGCTGAAGCTCTCTCTCTCCTCCCTCACTGCGTCTTCCTGCTTTGCTCTCGCTCAGCTTCGTCAATGGCAGCCATGTTCTGGGAGGCTGTGATGAGGTGCACGAGGCTGATGCCGGACTTGAGCAGGCAGATGATCCCACAGAGACCCTGCAGCCAGTACACCCAGCCTGCAGGGGAAACACACAGCAGGTCAAAACAATGTAGCAGTATTCAGCAATCCCAACGTCTTGCAGTGTGTGGATGTCAGCTAAGGCTCCTAGGTGTTCATTAGGGGTGGGGAGGGGGAGGGGGGAGGGGGGAGGGGGGGAAGATGGAGGAGGAGGAGGAGACTTACCAGCTGGTTCCTCGACGTGATGGAGGAGGTAGAGCAAACAGAAGAAGAGCTCATTCCCAAAACACATCACAAACAGCACCGGCTGCAGGAGATAAACACTGCAGCATTAGGTCCAAAGAAAAATACAGTGTGTGCGTGCGTGCGTGCGTGCGTGCGTGCGTGCGTGCGTGCGTGCGTGCGTGCGTGCGTGCTTTCTCACCTTTGATGTGTAGTAGATGCGGAGGATGGGGTTGCCTGAAAGGTCGATGGTCTTGTGACTGGTCGATCCTTTTATTGTAGAGCTGAATAAACAAAAAAAAAAGAACAATGATGATGGCAGAATAATGAAGGGGAATCTGCCTTTTAAATTTCTTCTTTTTTTTTTTTGTTGTTGCATATTTTGTAATGTCTAAATGAAATGCTATCCTTACGGGCAAATATGCCTGATCAGCGCAAGTCCACAAAAAAATATTGTGTGTCCAACAACAATACAGAAAGTAACCTGCAGAGGCAGACCTGTTTGTTCAAAGTAAGGCGTTTCTTTGAATTAGTAGAGGCTGTTACTTTGCTGTCTGAAACCAAACCTCTTTGTGTTCAAGAGGGCAGCCACAGAGAGGGGATTTAACTCTCAGCAGCAGCTCTCCACAAAACTTCATGTTCTGTTTCATTTCGATTAATATGATCCAATTCTCTGGTTTCTCATCCACAAAAGAAAGCAGGGCAAACCTTCTATCTCCTCTCCCACATGGGCCCCTGCTGCAGTACTGAACTTGAAAGAGGAGGGACTGTTCTCTGTGACGATGTACCTGTGCAGATGCAGCCAGTGGCTGGCGATGTCAAGACACATGCTGAGCTGAAACAGGAAGGTGTAGGATGGGTAGAGGAGGGACAGGTTCACCAGCAGACACATGGTGGCACAGCGGTCTGTTAGCATGTCCAACATGGCTCCAAACTTTGTGGCTGAAAGAGATAAGACAAGATACAGGAGGTTAGAAGAATTTTAACTGTTTCAAGGAAGTAAAAGAAGTCAAATACAACAGCTTTAATTATATACATTAGTAAAGGGCAAGTCAGGTAGCCTGAAAGGCAAATTTGAGGGCAAAAAATATCAAACAACTGAATGTATAGTAAATTCTCTACATATGTAACTAAGTTTTGGGAAATGCACTCAATAACATTTCAGCAGTTATGAGCCTGAGAGGCAAAACTGAGGGAACAGAAGTGATCATAAATACTGACACACACTGTATAATAATAATAATTTATACTTTATTGATCCCACGAGGGGAAATTAATTTCATTGTATGTAAGAAGATGATCGTGTGACTCCACTGGTTGCCAAACGAAGCCTGATAGATAAAAAAGTCTACGCGACAATGAACTCACTGAACTTCATACCTCATAAACACCGTCCGAAAGAATTCATGGTGAATAGCTATGTTCAAGGTTTCAATAAAACATCATTGTGTTTACCTTTTGTCCCATTTGGAGTAAAATAGACAATAAAGAAAGGTTTGATTTGTGATTGACAGGTCATTAACACTGTGAACTTCTCATTTCATTTTGGATTATAGTCACTCAGTTTGGTTCATCTAAGGCAGGGGTGGGCAACTGGCGGCCCGGGGGCCACATGCGGCCCCCATCAACCCTCAACGTGGCCCTCAGGTCAATTTTTACATGTCAATTAATTGGAAAACACAATAAAATCTACCATGAAAACCAGAAATATGTCCATGATAATATTTGATCACTGGTATATGTTGATTTCAATTTGAGACATAATCGACTTTAATCGTTTTGTTTTTTTGTATTCTACAATTTGGCCCCCGCAGGCAGTGAGAATTAAACGAATGCGGCCCTCAGCTTGTGACCAAAGTTGCCCCATCTCTGATCTAAGGCATCAGCCTGTTCAGAGAGATTTGGTAAAGGAAAGTGGGTGCATGGTCCTTGAAGATACATACACTGGTTGAGCGCTCGTGCGGCGTGACCATCGAAAGCGTCAAGCAGGGCACTGAGCAGGTAGCAGAAGACAGCCGGCCAAGGACAGCAGGGCATCAGGTAGAAGGACAGCAGGGCCAGGACAACCCGGGCATAACCTGCAGACAGAGAGCAGAGACACATGATGGACTGCACAGTTTAAAGATAGCTGCTTTAACACAGGTACACTGTTAGAAAGCAGGTGAATAGGTATTTAACTGGTTAACACACATCAGCATTAGTTGTGACACAAAATCAAATAGTAGAAGGCCTGAACAGCTTTTACATTTCACTGATAAATGATAACAGAATTGGGAATAGACACACAATGTGTTCAGGTAAACCGAGAGAAGGAGTGAAATTCTGTCCACATAGCTGACACTTTTTTTTATTAAGACTCAGGTAAGACATTTCTTTCAGTAGCATCAGCTGTGTTTTGTTTAAGTCAAGCTAACAAGCAATACATGTTGACGGTAAAAAAAAAAACTCACCAATCAAATTGGGAACGAAGAGAAAGATATTTTCCTGCTCCATCTTTGAGGTTTGTGGAGTATTTGTTTGACACACGTCGTCTTTTTTTTTTTTATTCAGTTCACTGCGTGTTACAGTTAAATAAAGACAAAGTTACTACAAGCTACAGTTGAATCTGTTTCGAGCGATGACTTCCTGGCAGCTTCTTGTCAACGCCTGGTTACGAGTCAGCAGCAGCAACAAAACATCACTTCCGGTTTGTTTTCAGAATAAAAGCGCAACATGGACCGATCTGGAGCTAAGGAACATTTCCCAAAATTATAAAAATAATAATAATAATAATTAAATCCACCTTATTCGTAAAACGAAACATAAATCAAGGGGAACTGTTGCGACGGTGTTTATGCCACTATTAGAGCTCAAATAGAATGGTAATATAATCACTTTGTCCATTGCCAATTAAACTATTTTATATGCAAAACATATTCAGCTTCAATACTTTCACAGGAAATAGTCGGTTTCCAATTACATCGAATGACAACCATTAAAATGTTTTTTTTTTGTTTTTTTTTAAACAGATTTGCTGCTTTTTCCGGTTTGAGTTGATTGATTTTGTTCAGCTTGATAACACGAGCGTCCAGTGCGCAGAACCGGTTGCGTCGTGACGTCATGCAAGCGCTATGGTGCCTTCCCTTTAATACGTCCCATCGGAAACAGACGGAAAAGTTATTTTTAGGTTTCATCCATCTCGGAGGTCAGGCGAAGAGCATTTCCTCAAGGTGAAGGAGAAAATAGGAAAATCAATTCGACTTTTTAAATAAATGATTAACATATCAGTCAAGATCTTTTAACAAGTATTATTATTAACTGCAGGTAAAATGAATATGAACATATACTTTTACTGATAGAAGTATTTTAAGTTATATGTAAATGTTCAGAGACCTGAAGTAAACAGTGAATTTAAGAGTGTAAGTCACAAATAGTTTTTATGTTTTACACAGTAGGTTTATCTATAATCTTGTTTGAACAGATCATGAGGGATTTAATATTGTTAACATGAAAATCATACTTTGTAGGGAAGGGGGAGGGGGGGAGCAAAACCTCTCAAATCAATAAAAACAAACCAAGATTTCAGTTTTTGTTCATTTATTTCTCAAAAATTATTTTTTTTTACGTTTCTGTACAAGTCATTTCTCAACACTCCTCCAAACATTTGCATTGAACCTGAACTTTTTTTTTTAAACTCTGTCCCCTGCTGTCAAAACAGTTTTTAACCCATCCATGTCTCCTTACACACATCCACTCAACACCAACTCTTCTCATCGTCCTCATCATCACCGTCTTCATCCTCACAGCTGAGCTCCCTGTCAGTTTATGTGATTATTGAGCTGCTGGCCCCAAACAGCTGGGGACAGTCTCTACCTTTAAAGGGGGGGGGGGGGGTTCCTGCCAGTAGAACTGGAGCAGAAACATTTTAAACAAAAGTAAACATATGGACCCACAAGGAAAAAAAGAAGGAATCACTGCTCTGCATTCTGGGAAATCTCGTTTGCTATCGAATCGTCAGACAGGCTCTGAAACAAGCGGCTTCTTAACACGGGCTAATTCACAACACGTTTCATGTTTGCTCGATAGTTGCTTTTCTTCTGGATTAATTTGCTTCAGTTTTTAGATGTCAGGCCGCTCTTAATGTCTGTGTATGTTCTGAGTTTCTCTCTGAGATTCTGAGATTTAACTCTTGGAAAATCATTATCATAATGAGCCATGAATGGATTAACCAGTGCTGTGTCCAAATCTGTTCATAAATGATTAACCTGCAGTTGATTTCTAGAAATGATCCCACGTTTTACTCTTGATTGTTGTAAAACTATTGTTATCTGCCTCCAACAGTACTGTTTACCGAGATAAACCAACTGAGAAAAGCTGCAAATTCTCACCTTCAACAGATCTCAAACTAAACGTTTCTGGTATTCTATTGAACAAGTGATGATCAATAACTGTTGCCAGTTCAACTCTGCAGATATTTTGGTGAGTTTAGAGAAATCATGAGAGCCATTTTATCAACCAAAGCTTCAGTCTGAACTTTGTCAGCAGTCTTATCTGAGCAAACACAAACATTTCCAAACATAATCCTTTGATTTAAGCAGATACCAACACAGAAATCCATACGTCAGTGAACTGCACACTTGTTTATCTGCTATTAGTGAACCAACATAAGAAACAGCTTTAATCTACATCTATTTGTCTTTCTGAAGGTGATTTCAGACTCCGCAGTGCAGCTTTAATTGGCAAACAACACAACTGAGGAATGGTCAGCACTGAAACTCTGTACAAAATAATGCATTAAAAAAAAAAGAAAAACAAAGTTGGCAAACTGAAATCTCACATCTTGAATGTTTTCCAGGTGTTTTTGAGGATGGGCAGAGTTCCAGCAGAAACATGTCCCTGCACAAAGAGAACACGGTGTTGGCTGGCTTGTTTTCCCCCAGCAGTGTCTCTATAGTATCTCCAAGAGGGATCCTTTTTTTTTTTTAAAGTCCAGCCCGTCCTTTAAATCCACCTTCCACTTCCCTGTCTCTCCCTGCGTTCATAAAACTTCTCAGCAACATTTGCACAAATACAGAAAAAGAAACTAATGTTTTAGTCAGCATACTAGAAATATGCTTTGATTTTCTGCGCTCAAACATTCTTTTACTATCAGTGCAAATGAGGTAGACATGACAGACAGCATCAGATCACACTGAGATCAGCTTCCTGCAGCCGAGATGGATGAATGGAGGGGTCATGTGACAGGCGGTGGTAGATCAGCTGATTTATTATCCACCTGTCTGGATGGTTGCGGCTGCAGGAAGCGACCAGATGTTTGTATTTTTCTCTACCCATTCAGACCGTGCAAAAGCAAATACAGGAAAAGTTTGATTGAAAAGGAGAGCCTCAATGTGGTCAACATCACATTAAAAGTTACTTAAATTACTGCATGAAGATTTCTGGATTGCTCTTTCTGAGATGAGTTTGATTAAAAAAAAAAAAAAAAAAAAAAAAAGGTTTTCTTAAAACTATTTCTCGGATCAAGTTTTAATGGTTATTTTTTTACAATCTATTGTTTTCTGGCAGAATGTCCCCTAAGGGCATCCGTACGGTTTGATACATCGTTACAAAAATAATAATTAAATGCTACTTGTGCTAAACAAAAAAAAATCTCTTAAAAACATAACCTGAAATAATATATTTTTGTGTATGAAATCAAACTTAAAAATGTGATTTCCTTCCATTTTTTTTAAAATGTGGTTCACTGTTATATTTTAAACAATTGATCCCTATTGCTATGAAGTCAGTTTAAGTCTTTTGCTGATTTGACGTTGACCACTTTGGGGCCCTGTACGTGTTGCAGGTTACAGTTTTCTTTTACGAGGGATAAAGAATGGAAAGCATTAAATAAAAGTTGCAACATGGCACAAAACCCGGTGAAAGAATCTGGTAATGTTATTCAGCTCGTTCGCAGACCCTCCACCTTTTAATACTGGCTCAAAATAAAAACATCTATAAAGTTAAACTCAGCCCTGCCCAGAACTGTAGACTCCTTCTTCCCTGAGACCTGAGACAGGAATGCTGGGAAAGGTAGTCTATTTGTCCTCCTTTAAAAACATTAATATTTGTTTTTGTGTTTTTTTTTTCTCCATAGGTCTATCACAGTAACATTGCGCTTATTCCCCACCCAGTGGTCAAAATTGGCAATTACATTTTAAAAACCGAAGAATTAGCATACGACATAAATATTACAACTGCAGTAGAGGTAATAATAATGATAGCATCTATTTGTCTGCATCTAGTACAAATTGGTATAACTCACGTGACAAAATAATCATTATTATTACTCTAACACAGTCTCAAAGTTAGTGCTTTTATGTACACCCATAAGTACAATGCAAGTTAAAAGTGTTTGGACAGTGAACAATCTTCAGTATACCTGCTACATTTACACAGGTATCTTACATTTATATAAATAGGTAGTGTGCATGAGATTCATACAAATGCTGTCTGTACACAAGTTCCATGCACTGAAGTGTACTAATCTGTAATGTAACACGTACATCCTATCTAAAGATGCAGACCAAACTGTGGGGGAGACAGGTGGAGGTGTGGGTAAGCTGCTCACACACACACACACACATATGCACGCACACTTAGAGCACTCAGATTCAAGTGCTCAACTCACTCAAAAAAAAAAAAAAAAACACACCTCTCTGGCAGCATCTCTAAAGTTAGTCTGAAATTTTATTGGACAGTGTTCCTATTGCCCGTCTCCTCTGTGTGTCAAGAACAAAAACTCCCTAAAATTGGTACACCAGAGTTTGAGTTTTAAACTTTTCCACTAGACAGATTTATTTGATTTGCTAAAATGTATTTATCATTAGACATCCCGCTTGATCCTTCAAATCAAGACACCTTTACTTGAATATCTCAGATTAAATCAGAGATTCCTGATCTGGACTAAACAGAGCAGAGTCAAAGTTATCCATTAGATGGCAGCTATTAAAATAGCCAACCAATAATTTTCACATTCACCTAATCACAGCGGCCTATTACCATTTTCTGACATCAATAAAAACTTTTTTTTTAAAATCAATCAACAGAATATGTGTCTGTTCTTTCTTATTTCTATATTTAAGCTAAATCAATGAAGCTTATTCTGTTTCTGGACACACAGAGGTTCAAAAATAACAAACAAGCTCCCGTCTGAAATATGTCGGACTGTTTAAGAAGAGTTAAAGGGCAGTGGTCGAGTTGTCAACAAATAGATGGCAGTGTTTGTCTTCATTGTCATTTTACAGAATCTTATCACTACAAAAAAAAAAAAAGAGAAGTTTAATGTTTTTAAGATAATCCTACTGTCAACTCCTGTGTTGTCCCCCTGATCCCAGCGAACCCGAACCTGCTGAACATATGAAACACGTAGAAATCAAAAATTGGGTTTTACAATTTACCGTTATTTACATAGTTACAGTGGTTTTTAAAGCACCGCAGCCGAGTGGAAGCTTCAAAACGGTCGCCTGTCTTCCTGCTAAACTTTAAACCTGAACACCTGAAGGTCTTGGCTACACCTAGACCTGAACCTGGTCTGAAAGGCGACTCCTGCAGTTAAACCGTCTCACTATAGAACTCAATACTGTGCAATGGATTCATTGTGTTTCAAAATGAACAAGTGGACTTTTCTGTCCTGTTTG